AGTGGGCCTAAGCCAGCAGGTGGTCATCCCCCGAGGGGTCCCAGACTGCGAGAGGGCACAGGCCGGGCTGAGGGACACCCCCCCCCCTGAGTGCACAAATTTTTATGCACTGGGCCTCTAGTAAAATATAATACTGCAATGTGAACTTCCAGGGTGCTGTTAAAGTTCGATTTCTTTTTTTTAATAGAGTTTTTTTAATTGATTTCAGAGAGGAAGAGAGAGATAGAAACATCAATGATAAAGGAGAATCATCAATTAGCTGCCTCCTGGACGCCCCAAATGGGGATTGAGCCTACAACCTGGGCATGTGCCCTGACCGGGAATCAAACCGTGACCTCCTGGTTCATAGGTCAATGCTCAACCACTGAGCCACACTGGCCGAGCAAGTTCAATTTCTTGATAGACACATTCACTTTGGGAAACTTTATCAAGCTGTGCTTATGATTTGTACCATGTTCCTGTATGTATGCTAAACATCAATGCAATTTACCAAAAAAAAAAAAAAAAAAAGGAGTCCATGCCAGTCTTGTTCTACAATTGGTGTTTGAGTTGGCAGCTGATGTTTGGGATGTAGTCATTTACACTTGAAGTTAACGTGAAACCCTTGCAGGTGTGGGGACATTTGAGCATTTGGAGCCTCTGCTCTTGGCGGGTGGCGGGGAGGGGGGGTAGTTCTTGATAGGGGTGAGACATTTCAGTAGCACCAGCTCAGTCTTCCCTCCAGATAAAAATGGAAACTGCTGGCGTATGAGAGTTCCTGGGTGTGGTTCGGGTGGCTTTGTTCTCGGGGGCCCTGGGGATGTGGGGTAGCCACAGCGCACTCAGGGCCAGCGGGGAATGCACACTTCACCCCGTGCCCAACAGGAAGGAAGGAGAAATACGTCAGCTGTTCTAACACCAAGAAAAGTCGACTTCCTCCTCTTCGGAGCAGACTCCTCTGATCTCTTCTCTCGCAGTTGATTCAAAGGTAGGCTGAGCATCCAGGTACAGCGTTGGGCCATTTGGGGGCTGGGGTGAGTAGAGATTACAGCTACAGTGACTTTTCTTAGCTGGATGACGTTAAAAGGTGAGAAACAAAAGCAATGGTAAATTAAACAAAGGTGACTTGTCACTTTACTGAATAGCAGACATTTAAAATTCAGGGTAATAATGATTTAAATGATGTGGAGGAAGTATGTTCGAGTTACTTAAAACAAAAACACTATCCCAAAGCTAGACGGTGTGAATTGTTTTAGGCGGTGGCACAGAGTGTCCAATTTCTTCTTTGGCTTGTGAGTTACTGTATGTATCGTTTATTACTGTTTTGCTCTGAGTCTGCGGCATAAATTCCGTTTGCTTGGATCAGCCATAATCTTCAGTTTGGAGGAGGAACAGAAATACAATTTTAAAATAAAAAAATTAAATTAGCTGGGGTCTAATTTAAATTTCTTTCAGTTAAACGTCCTTAACGCCCAAACCAATTTCTTGGCAAGAGGAGAGATTCTGAGAGGAGAATGCACAGCAGATATTAAGGCTCCATTGAGCTAGAATTGGTGTAGAAAAGGTTATCTGGCCAAGGTAGTGGGAGATTCTAACTTCTCTGCTCAAACAAAGCAGAAGACTTTGGAGCTAATTGGACCCAGATTAGAATGTGACATCAGGTAAATTGCTTAGTCACTCCAGCCTCACTCTTCACATCTGTAAAATGGGTGTACTTACTCCATCATGTTTGTTGTGTGTTGAAATGAGGATTGAGGTATGCAGAATACTCGGCACACTGTCTGGCCCAGAGTAAGCGCTAAATAAATAAACCATAGCTGTTGGTCCAGTTGTAAGTAGTAATGACAATTGTAAGTAGCACCTATGACAATATAATAACATTAATTCTCATTTCTCCACCCTTCCATAAGAAGATGTCAAGTATAAGCCATGAAAATCATGGACTCCTGTGTCAGTGTTTTACTCGGATTCTATAATATTTTTTGGGGGGCGGGGACCGGGAGGGGCAAGATACCCTCCTGCAGGATCAGCAGTGCGCTGTGTGGGCTTTCAGAGGAAATGCTCCCTTCTCACCTTGGGTGGGTGTCGAGTTTTCTAGATTTAAGCCCATGTACACGCAACCTCACGTATAACGGATGGAGTTTTGAGGGACCTGCAGTTACACAGCTTGTGGAGATTCTTCAAGAAAAGGAATACAGAACTAGGTGCCAGGCCTTGGACAGGGCGTGTGGGTGAGGGACCCAGGGCTGGCGCTCACTGGCTTTCGGAATACCCACCTCTGATGAAGTAACAGCAGAGCAAAGGAATTCATCAGCGCACGTGTCCGTTTCGGGTCAGACTTTGTGATGGGCGCACACGCCTGTCGCCTCGCCTTTGCAAAAACGAATCTGTCCCGTGTGCAGGTCTGGGCCCAGGTGGGTGGGAGCCGCAGACAGAAAGCTGCTCTCCATTCACCTCCTTCCTTGGGTGACGCCGCTTTCGGGCGGTCACGGCCTCCGGAAGGAATAAACACACGCCAAAAAGACACGGGTGGCGTTTTCCGTGGCCCCTCCAGGTCACCTTGGCCCCCAGCCTCCCCCTGCGCCCGGCTGCCTTCTCAGCGGTGCCGCTGCTCCAGGAAATGGCTGTGGCCAAGCCCCCGAGTGGCCTGCGCTGAGGCTGTGGCTTTGGGGCTCTGAGAACGTGCTGTCATTTCCCCTGCAAGCCCGGCAGCGATGACGCTCCTGTTCGCTCCTGTTCACACGTTCACACACCACACCCGGCACCCGGCCCCTCCGCCAGGCGCCACATTTCCACCCTTCAGGTCGAGTCCCTCCCTCACGGCAGGGAGGGGTCTTTCTGTCCTTTGATTTCAGGGCCAGCTGCTCAGAGCTGGCAGGAAGGTGGGAGAAAGGGGGGGGGGGGGGCGCTGCAGCCTGCAGGTAGATCGTTGGCTTTCCCATCCTTTCTCCCTTCAGTCTCTCATTTCTGGGACTCCCTCCACCGCCCCCCCTCGCCCCCAGCTCTGTCAGGTCTAAAAAGCCAAAGGCAAGCCTTGCTCTTAGGTGGAGGAAAAGCAAGCAAGCACATGACTGGCAAAGTGGCCCCGCACACCCTCCCCCGAGGAGCCCCCTGACCCTCCCCTGGAAGCCCCCCTGACCGTCCCCCTCCCGCACCTCCACTGTCCCTGTGGAGAGCACCTGCCTCCCTGTGAGCACCCCTTCTCTGTGGAGGCTCGTGGCTTTTCTACTCACCCTACATGTTGTCGCCTGTTTTCTGGCTGCAATGTGAACTTTTTTTTAGTATATATTTCTATTGATTTCAGAGAGGAAGGGAGAGGGAGAGAGAAACATCAGCGATGAGCGGGTGTCATCGATCGGCTGCCTCCTGCACGCCCCACATTTGGGGATCGAGTCCACAACCCGGGCCTGTGCCCTGACCGGGAATAGAACCGTGACCTCCTGGTGCACAGGTCGTGGAATGTGAACTTCCTGAATGCGGACACTGGGTCTTGTTTATTATGGACCCTCACTGCCACGTGCGTGGCAGAGAGCAGGCTGATAAAGTCGGGCTGTTGGGCTGATGGACTAAACCCTGTGCTTGTTCCACTGGGCCCGGCAGGACTGCACACGGACAAAACGGAAATGCAGGGATTGAAGGACATGCTGGCTTAGGGGGCACCCCACCCCCACCCCTGCGGCCTGCATCCCTGTCAATCCCAGACAAAGGCGTGGCTCCCGGCGTGGGCCTTGCTGAAGGGAAAGGAAAGACAGGCAGCAGGGAATCCTCCTGCGTCCTCCTTGCTTTGTTCCAGCTGTTGGAGCGAAGGGCTGGACCCAGGTGATCCTGGATTCGTGTTGGAGCCAGATTGACGGCCAGATCTCCGCGGAGATGGGCGGGTTTGGTGTAAATGCATCTCCCCTCGGCTGGGGACTCTTTCCTTCCGAGTGGTGCCCGGGTGTAGGGGTCACTTCATTGGTGTCGAATTTCTTTGCCACTCAAAGTATTTTATTTTGTGCATTTAAATATGGAAGGTTACCCATCTTTCACTATAAAGATTTAAAGAAACAAAGGTTAGGAATCACTGCTTAAAGAGACTGACCCCTTGGGCGGATTCACTGCTCACCCACCGATTCATATGGATCGTAGGACTATGGTGCGGGTTTCTGCAGAAGGCCGACAGAGGGAGTGTAGCTTCTCAAGCATTCGAAGGAAGTGTGATCACTGAGGAATTCATGTAGATCTGATAACAAAACAGCATTGTAGAAAGTGCATTGACTCCGTGGGCTACACTTTCTGCATTTCCTCACTGCGCATCTGTCCAGTGTCTTACCCATTCACAGCCTCCTCCTTGGTTGGGGGGAGGGACAGGCTGAAGGGGATGGCTGCCCAAGGCCACTGATGAGGAACAAACGTAGGAACAATGTAGGCAGAGCCTTTCGACTCGCAGTAGCAGAAACAGGACCCCACCGTGGGCAGCTGGTGAAACCACTGAGGCCCATACATGATTGATGGGTTGAGGCTGTGGTGACGTCTCCTCAGACCTCCCTAATTGGTTACTCTTTTTTGAGTTCTGAAGTTAATTGTAAAAATAACAGCTGGCATCGAGGACATTGCTCTGCTAAAGTGTTTTCAATCAGGAGGTTGGTATTAAACACAGACCTTTCGCACCTCTAATGGCGGAAGAGGCGGAAGTCAGACTAGAAAGAGTCAAGTTTGGGAGCTGGAGGCCTTTAGAAACACGAGACCAACTTAGTAAAATTTAAAACCTTCCGACATCACCAGGGCAGACAACACAAAGGGCTCCCGGTGTGTGGAGGTGAGGCTGCGGGGATGCAGGCCCGGCGCCCTGACCTGCTTTTATTCTCTCCCCAGGCGCTGAGCCGGCTGGCTTTCCGCCGTCCTTCCCGGCGACCGGCAGATGTTCGAAGGGGACAGTTCGCCTCTGAGTCACTGACCGTCTCCCTGCTGCTATTTAAACCCCGCAGATTGGAGATTATCTGTGTGCTGGCCCCGTGCCTCGCGTAGAGCCCGCTGGCAAGACCTCAGAGGAAGACACGCTCTTGTCTCGGACGGACGCCAGAGGCTGCGGCCCGGTGAGAGCAGAGCGCCCGCCCGGGGCCGGGCCGAGGCTCCGAGCTCTCTGTCCCCGGAGTGCGGCAGGGAGAGGAGAGGCAGAGCCACAGGCAGCGGGCGCCGGGAACCGGAGCGGGAGCGCTTTCCGGAACTGGGGCTGCTGGACCCGGCCCCTCCGCGCTGCGCGACGGGCGCGGGGCCATGGAGTGAAACGTCACCCCGTCCCCGTCCCCGAAGCGACGGCGAAATGGCCCAAGAAGTCAGCCTGGACGCCCTGCAGGAGCTGGAGCAGGAGGCGGTCCTCCGGGTGCTGCGCCGGGACCGGGCGGTGCAGAGCATCGAGGAGGAGCGGGTCCGGTACGCGCCCGGATGGGGGTCCGTTGGGCTGGTGGCTGTTCCCGCTGGGAGCTGCCCCGGGACATGGCATATGGCTCCTCACCACCCACAGCCTCTGGTCTGACAAGCGCCCCAGGGCAGGGGGGCGGGCAGGGGGCGGGAGGCGGGGTCACCTTTACTTAAGCTGCTTTTGTTACTTACTGGTGCCTTTTTGGGGACACATTTGCCTACTTTGCAGGAATAACTCTAGGGAAGCTGACAGGCTTCCAGCACCCCTCGGGGCAAGCCCCCTGGTGAAAGATTTTCCTAAATTATTTTCCGTGGCACCTGAAGGCACAAAGAAAGGAAGCGGCTTAGAAACAGCAAATCTGCTGGAATCCATTCCTGCCTTTTTTTTCTTTCTTTTCTTCTTTTTTTTCTTTTTTTCTCTCACTTGGGCTGTGAGGAAAGGAGGAGGATGTGAAACGCGAACCTGCTCGGCCCAACCTGCTCGGCCTGTTCCCGGCTGGTTTGCCTGTGGGCGCGTCTTGCCTCGTCTTTGCACAGCTGTTTGCTGTCAGCTAACATTTACTGAAGCAGAACTGGGTGTTTCAGAGCAGTGTCCATGTCAGCTGTCCAGCCCCCCCTTCGAGTGGGTCGGGAGGCCAACTGGACGCCGATGCTGTGTCTGTCCGCGTCTGAGGGGACATGAGGTCCAGGAGAGCAGTGAAGGGCTGGGCTGCGGGCCCGGCTGGGTTCTCAGAGTTTGCCAAGAACACCCGCCCAGAGCACACCTGCGGGCACCGCGTGCCTGAGGGAGGAGGGAGACTTCCCGGTCACCTGGAAGGTGCCGTGCTCTTTGTCTATCCCCACCTGCTATCCCCGGACTCTCTAAACGAACTCACCCTTCCGCTAAGAAATGCAGCAGGCTGAGCACAGGGTGAAAGATCTCTCCGCAATTAGACCAGCGGTCACCAGCCTTTCAGGGCTCACGGACCACTGGTTGGTGACCCTGATTAGGAGCGTTGCTTTGGGTATCATTGAAGAACGTGTACCTGGGGCCAGGTACCTGAGGCTACCGATTCTGGGCAAAGCCTGAAAGCGGGGTGTAAGGGTGTGCCTTGGAATTGGCTTCTCTCTTCTAAAAGCAGGTCACAGAGATATTTCAGAAAGAGTGTCCTGGGGTCCAGCGAGATAGCCCTTTGCCCTAGGGCCTCGCCTAGGGGGCTTGGCCACCGGGAATGGGCAGTGTCTGAGCAGAGCATCAGTTAAGCCGTCTCACCGGTATGGATGGCAGTCGCGGGCATGCATGTTGCGTTACAGAGCTTCCGTGCCTTGCACATGAGACTGAGTGTCAGCCTCTGTGTGTTATTTTTCCTCTCCTCTCTGTTCCTGCCTATCATTTTAATGCCCTTTGGGCACGAAAGGATAAACCCAGAACAATGAGCAGCTCGCTCCTCTGGGCCAGGCCTCTCCCTGATGCTTTGCCCTTCACCCTCCCAGCAGCCCTGGGGTAAGGTTTCCCCACCCCTGTTTCACAGCTGAGAAACCCCTGAGCCTCAGGATGGGCCATGGGGGGGCCCAGGGCGTGGGTGGCAAGCCCCTTGTCCCTTGCCGTGGGGGCGCTGTCGGGGCCCTGGCCGCGGGGCGGGGGGGGTGTCTGGCCTCTGCCGCCCGCTCGGTGGGGTCTGATGGGACTCTCTGGCCACAGGAAGCTGAAGGCGCACCTGCAGCACCTCCGGTGGAAAGGCGGGAAGAGCCCGGGCCAGGGCCACCAGGAGAAGGCGTGTGCCCACTGCCGGCGGGCGCTGGGGCTGCTGCTGAACCGCGGCGCCGTGTGCCAGGGCTGCAGCCACTGCATGTGCTCCGGGTGCCGCGTGTTCCTGAGCAGGACCCGCCTCTGGAGGTGCACCGTGTGCTACGAGGGCAGGTGAGGATGCGGGAGTCCTGGGCGGTGGCCCGAGACAAGCCTCAAGGGCAGCGGGCAAACGTTTGCAGAGCGAACTTCTGAGACTTGGAGGTCACCGTAATTCAGAATCCATTGGATTGGCCTGGCGGGTGGCTCGGTTCATTGGAGTGTTGTCCCGTGCACTGAAGGGCTGTGGGTTCGAATCCCTGTCAGGGCACATACCGAGGTTGCAGACTTGATCCCCAGTTGGGGCTTATAAGGAGGCAATCCATCCATGTTTCTCTCCCTCTTCTCTCTCTCTCGTCACTAAAAACATATCTTCTGGTGAGGATTAAAAAAAAAAGAAGAAGAAGAAACGGGTATGCTTCCCATTCGTGATAGACTGAATCTAATGTATTTTAATCTTTTGGTGGTGTGAGGTTGTAAGCATTTTTTTTTTTTATTATGGAATTGGTATTTTTGAACTATCCATTTTGAAAATGGTAAACCTGTTGGGCTTGGGCTCCCACTGTTCCAAGCAAGAATGGGTTGGTCGTGGGTCCTTGCACCCCCACGGGAGTGTGTTCGGGTGGTTGGGGGACAGCGTGCACCAGGCCGGCACGGGCCTTGTGGGAAGGGAGTGTGTCTGCTGTGAGCCCAGGGGTGGAGGCGGCGCCCGGAGACCTGAGACCACTTCTCGCTCAGCAGTCGCCAGCCCGCTCACTCAGTGTGAATGCAGCGGCCGGATTCCCTCTCCCCTAACTCAGGAGGGCTGCTTATTGGGCGCCCTGGCACGAGTCTCCCTAAATTTCCAGTCCCTTCGCTAGGCCTGATGCATTTCAGTCGCTCACCCAGAGAAAAGTGCAGCCGCCCCACCCGATGTCTGTGGTCCTGAGCGGCCGACCTCCCGTCTCCAGCACCGACTCCTACCAGACCCACCTCCACGCACCTCAGGTTTCCTGGGCTCGTGGGAGCCAAGCCCTTTGGGCTTTCCTGGGCTTGAGAGGAAGACGCAGAATCACTGCACGCCGCCGGCCGCACCTGTGCTCGCTCGTGCAGGTCTGGGCTCTCAGGCGGGTAGGTGGCAATTAATTCCAAAAACGTCTCGAGAGATCGAACGCTCTTCCTCCGTTTTAATCAACCACAGACATTGAGGTCTAACGATAAACATGGCGTGGTAAGGCATTACGTTCTTCAGCAATTTTCTCCTAATAGTGAACTAGAAGCAAAAAGTCAAATCGGGGGGTCAGGGCTGAGCGGCCGCCCGGGCGCTGGCCGTGTTGAAATCTCGGCCCCAGCGTCGGGCCCTGGTGTTGAAACTCTGCCCTCTAAGGACACCAAGTGTGATTTCTATAACCCCAGCTTCCTTCTTTTGAAATAAAGATGTTTTTCAAAACACCTAAGGTAATTGCATTGCCCTGTGTGAACCGACACAGGTGCCGTACGGGAGAGCTAACTCATTTCTAACATCTGTTACCCCCCCCGCCCCTTTCTCTTTGCTATTTTCTTCAAAACCCTCTGCTCTTACTCTGGTTGGTCCACTCTGGGCTGCTGTCCTCTCTCTTTTTTTTAAATTCTCACCTGAGGCTATGCTTTTCAATAAGAGAGAGAGGAAGGGAGAGGAAGAGAGAAAGAGAAGCATCGATGTGAGAGAGAAACATCGATCGGTTGCCACAATCCGCAACCCGGGTACGTGCCCTGACTGGGAATCAAACCCACAGCCCTTTGGTGCACGGGATGGCCCTCTAACCACTGAACCATACCGGCCAGGATGGCCACGCAAAGAGAAGGCATGATAACCCTTTAGAACCGTGGTCGGCAAACCACGGCTCGAGAGCCACATGCAGCTCTTTGGCCCCTTGAGTGTGGCTCTTCCACAAAATACCACGTGCGGGCGCACATGTACAGTGCGATTGAAACTTCGTGGCCCATGCGCAGAAGTCAGTATTTTGTGGAAGAGGCGGTATTTCGTGGAAGAGCCACACTCAAGGGCCCAAAGAGCCACATGTGGCTCGCGAGCCACGGTTTGCCGAGCCGCAGTTTGCCGACCACCGCGTTAGAACATTTGACATTCGTAACTGAACGGGGGCCTGGAGGCGGGTTTGAGCCCCGTCGGTTTCCCCTGTCTGCTTCTTCCTCGGCCTGAGTCCTGCTCCCCGAGAACCAGTGGGTCTGTGGGCACCGGACGAGGGACATCGAGTTTTAAAACCAAGGAAGGAGAAGCTCTGGGACCTCAATTACAAAGAGGCAGCAGCAAACCCAGCTCGCAGGTGCTGCAGCCAGAGCAGGCGAGTGCCGGCCTGGCCGGGGGCAGCGAGGACCCCGCCTTCAGGGCAGGTGTCCTTACGGGACCGCAGAGCAGCCCTGGCTGCAGCGCTGCGGGGAGAGGCCCGGATGAGAGGGACGGACACTGTCGGGAGAGGAGACACCTGGAGTGACAAGGACCGCCCACCACGGCGAGGGCCGGCGAAGCGCTCCTTGTCCTTGGCGCCGACTGTCTGTCTTAAACCTGGAGGCGTCTCCTGGGGCAGCCACTGCTGTGATCCTGTCTTCCAGGTGAGGACACGGGGCTTGGAGACACCAGATAGTTGGCCCATGGCCATGAGGTCAGGAAGACTGGGACCCGGGCTCCCGAGTCCCATCCCCTCTTGCCTCCGCCCTCTCCTGTCTGCTGGGGGCTCCCCCGCGAGGGCAGGGTCTTCAGAGCCGCCCAGAGAGCTGGACTCGGAGACAAAAGGGCTTTGCCGGAGGAAAACCAGGAGAGGGGGCTGTGGAGCCAGGCGGACTCGGGAGGGGAGATAAGGGAACAGGCCACGTGGAAGTCCTGGTAGTGAAACCAGACGCGAGGCGATGAGGCCGGTGGCGGTAGAGATGACAGACAGCCCAGCCAGTGTGGCTCAGTGGTTGAGCACCGACCTATGAACCAGGAGGTCATGGTTCGAGTCCCAGTCAGGGCACATACCCGGGTTGCGGGCTCGATCCTCAGTAGGGGGCTCGCAGGAGGCAGCCACTCGATAATCCTCTCTTATCATTGATGTTTCTGTCTCTCCCTCTCTCTTCCTCTCTAAAATCAATAAAAACATTAAAGAGAGAGAGCGAGAATGTGACAGACAGTTCAACAAAGGGGGGTGGAAATGAGTTATGGGGGTTAAAAGCGGGAACCACACCGCCGTGGCCAGCAGGCTGCGCCAGCCCAAGACCTTGTTTCGTTGGCCTGTGAATGCCTAATACTTATCGTCTCCACGTGGAAACGGTGCGTGGGTTCTCCGATTGGCCACGGCGCCCACCCCTCCCTGCGGCCTCACACCCAGCCCGCTCTCCAGCTGCTGCCGGGGCCCAGTGTGTGAGCGGCCGGCACGTCCGAGGGCACGATGCACGGGAGACCTCAGGGGCTGTCTCAGGCTCCCCCGGTGCAGGTCCCACCTGATCCCTCCGGTTCCCGGGTGCCCCTGCCCCTGGGGATGTCATTCACTCCCCAACCCACACGCACTTCCTGGCCCCGCCACGGGCCTCCATCATGCTTGGGGCTGTGACTCTCGCCTCTCCAAGGTCCAGTGGGGGAGAGTTATCAGTGCTTCGCACGAAGTGGTGGTGGCAGCCTGATGAAGTCGTTTCTTTATCTTCATCTCGACGTCCTCACTCCGCTCCCGGTTACCTAGGATTTAATCGCCCCGATCAGCCTGTTTTCCTGTGAGAACGTTGAAATCAGATCGACTGGGCTGGTGCAGAAACCTCACTTGTGCTTTGTAGGTAAAAGCCATCTTAGACGCAAGAAGTGAAACGATTTTCGCGGAAAGCACGCGGGACTGCGTTAGCTGGGACTCGCCCAGCAGCTGGACAGGCTGGCAAAGCAGTTGGTTGATCTCAGGTTCGCAGTGAACTCCTGCCCCGGGAGTTTGGCAGCTTGTCGGTCTGACGAGCCAGGGCCTGGAGGCTGCTTTGCCATCAGGGCACTGGGGGGAGCGCAGGCCACGCGGGAATGTGCTGCTTTAGCCGCTTGAGGAACCTGACTGCACAGAGCAGCTCCCTTGATTATTTTGATGGCAATTTTGTTTCCCCTTGTACATTTACTCAGAAAACACGAAGTACTTCCCGTGCGTTGGGCCCATGAACAGGTTGAGGTGTATGTGTTACATGTACATATTACACAGACGGTAAAACACGCCCAAGCAGAGACTCCCCACCCTGCTGCCACTGGTCCCCCGCTGAGCTCTGGGGGAGCGGCAGGGTCAGGGGCTGGGCCGCGCATTTGAACCCTGAGGTCCTTGGCCAGACTAATACTGTGTGATCCTCCCCACCTCCCTGTGAGGGGCCGCTTCCCAGCCGACGCTCCTGTCTGCTTGCTTTTCAGAAACGTGAGGATAAAATCCGAAGAATGGTTCTTTGAGGAACGGGCCAAGAAATTTCCAACTGAAGGTAAATGCACTCAAAATCTTTACTAAATTGAAAATGATAAATTCCTCCTTTTAAAATATTGGGTTTAAAGCTTTTGAATGGAAACAACTCCACAGGGCGAGGTGACATCACACACACACACACACACACACACACACACACACACCCGTCCTCTTAGTGCTCCTGTTCGCAGTTTCCTGCCTTTGCCCCCCCCCCCCCCCATGTGCTCACCTTGGGTCGCGGTGTTTGCCTCTCTACCCTGTGTCCCCGAAGTCTCCCCGACGCCCAGCTCCTGGGAGCCAGGTCTCCCTCCTCCGCACGTGTCCCCCAGAATCGCTGGAAGCGCCTTCGATCGGGTCCATATGTGCGCACTTTTCTCTCTCCACACCAGAACCTGTCCCGTTAGCCCCTCGCAGCCCGAGCACAAAACCTCGTTCAGGATACAAAACCTCGATCGACACGATTGCGTGAATTGCTGAAGAGCACAGTGTGGGTGGGGCTAGAACTGAGCAGACGCTGATGTTATGAAGTCACCTGTCATGACCGTGGGGGTGGGAGGGAGCAGTTGGTCTGTGTCTTGTAGACCAGGCATGTCTTATAAAACAGTCCCAAAGTCGACGTGACGGTGTGATCAGCAGCCGGGACCCGAACCCGTGGTGAGAGCTGGCGGTGCCGTGGTTATGGGGGCGCCGCGCCGGAGGGTGGGAGCGGGGCAGATAGGAGAGTACCTACAGGGGGCCCGCGGGCCCCGGCATCACACCCGCACGTACGCAGTGCTGAGCGATGGTGGCTCCCCCTCCCGGCCCCCGCACTGTGTCACAGCGGAGCCTCACTGGCCCAGTGGGAACGGGGTGCTGGAAACACTTTTTACTTTTTCCTGGAAAAGTGATGGTTTGAGGTGGAGAAATAGGCAGTTTAGCATCAACCACAGTGCGTCGTCAGGTAAAGGCCGCACGCTGGGCGGCCACGCTCAGCTCTGATCAAAGGCCCTGCTCACAGCTTGTTTCCGTGCGTGACGTTCTCCCCTGGGTTCCACTCCCGACTCTTCTTATCAAGACCCCAGGGTGCTTTTGCCGAGCGTGTAGGATCGGGCGGGGTACACCTCTAACGGGAGCTCGAGAAGCTGACCGGCCAGTGTGAGTCCCTCTAGCCCAGGGTTCTCAACCCTTCCCCGCTGCCTCCTCTCTCCTGGCCCAACGCCTGGTCAGCACTTTCCTTTAACTGCTCCCGGCCAGGAGCCTGTGGCCCCCGATGTCCTGCCGGCCTGTTTACGGGCGGAGGCCGGGGGCGAGGCACACACCCTGAGACGGCTGCGGTGTCCCCCCTGGAGTTCTGGCCTTGGACGCGGGTGCTCGCCCCACCCGAGCGTCACCCGCAGAGCAGGGGCAGCTGGAAAGCCGTGCATCTGCCCAGCAGCTCGTGCTGTGGCGGTAAAGGTGTGAACGCGGCCCTTCTCAGCCCCGCACCCTCCGCAGGGGCAGAAAGCAAGGTGCGGGTTCACACCACGAAGGGCATCAGACACTCAAACCCGGGCTCCCTACTGTGCGCCCCTGGTCTTTTGCCGGGAGCACGCGGTGGCTTAAATAGCATTATTCTTTCACACGCCTGTCTCCAGCGGAAGGCTGGCCTGGGCTGCAGGGGCAGCTTTCTCGGGGCTCAGGCACGCACCTGCCGGCCAGTGCGGCTGGCAGGCGCGGGGCTCCTCCCGCCTGGACCCCTCCACAGGGTGGCCGACCCCCCGCGGCCAGGCGCCGGCTTCCAGCTGGTGATCCTAGAGAGACGAAGACAGAGCACCGCGGCACCTTAACAACGGTTTTTATTGTGGTGGAACACATGCAACATTAAACGTACCATTTTAACCATGGTTAGGCGTACGGTTCAGTGACATTAAGTGCAGTCACACTGCTGTGCAACCATCACCGCCATCCATCTCCAGAACTTTCCATCCTCCCACACCAACACTCTCGTGCCCATTCAGCAGTAACTCCTGTCCCCCAGCCCCTCCCCAAAGCCCCTGGAGCCTCTCTCCTACTGTGTCTGTCTCTGTCGACATGGCTTCGCTTCGGAGCTCACCCCGTCATTGCTGCCCCCTCCCAAGGTTCACAGGCCAGCTCTCTGCAGGGCGGGAGGCAGGAATCACCACGTGTGACCCTCTGCAGGTTTCCATCTTGCTCTATAATTTAATTTAGCGTAAGCATGTCCCTGTGCTACTGAGACTTCTCCCAACGTATGTTGACGGCTGGGATGCGCTCCCACTGTTCAGCCGGGCCCCTCTGGTCAGCGAGCGGCCGTGCTTGGACTTTCACGTCACAGATGACTCGGTGGTGGACGGCGGCATCTCTGTCTGTGTCCGTCGGTGGCTCCTTAGAAGAATGACTGGTTGAAAGGCTTTGATGTTTTCCAAGGTCCCCTCTGGGCAGTGTGTGCCCGGGCACCCCTGGCAGCGCGTGAGCCGCCCGCCCTCTTAAGTCCTGTCCCTTGAGACACGATTTCAAATTACATTTGTGATTTTGTTCTGAATGTGAAGGTAATACGGATTCATTTTTAAAATGGAAAAATGGAGAAAAGCATAAACAGTAACATTGAAAATACAGTGACTTCACCCTGAGAATTATTGTTGACATTTTGGTAGATATCATTTCTGTTCTTTGGTGAATATATGCATCTACATTTGTGAGTATGTATGTACATTTTTAGGTAAAAATGATGGATAAAGGAAATTTTATATGAGCCAAACTAATATATTCATATAATTGGGATCAAATGATCTATACAGACATATTCTGATATCTCTTCACATAATATCATCATCACTGTTGTTGGATAGCTAGGGAGTTTCCAGTTTTGCTGTTACATTTTTGGGAGTTTGTCATATTATTAAAGTAACAGTAAAGTGCAGTGAACACCCTTGGAGAGTGGTCTTCGGCACATCTCTGGAGACTTCTAGAAACAGAAGGAAAGAAAGTGTTAGGAACACCACCTCGGAACGCGTGCACCTCTGTCACCAGCAGGAATTACCCTTAAAAGCAAATAACTCTGTCAACACAGTGAAACCACTCTGGTGGCCCCGATGCTACCCTGTTATTTCCGTTGGAATCACCTAATTATTGCGACGGGCCATTTCCGCTGCTCTGACTCTCGGTAGATGTTGAGGCTCTCAGCCCTTTGCAGTCGTGTATGCTGCACCGCGCACCTTGTTGACATGCAGAAGCTTTTCTTGTTTGTGTTCAACTCCACCTTTTCCTGTACAAGTTCTTTCTTTGCTTTTATGCGTAGAGACTTCTTCCTGATCCTGTCATCGACACGGTGGCCACGATTCTCTCCTCATTGTCATGAGCTCATTTACATTTAAGACTTCACCAGGCGTCAGGGGCCTGATCTGATTTTTTCTGCCCATCACCAGTGTCCCCAGTAGCGTTTGTTATGTGGTCAGCCCCTTTCCCGCTGGCTTATAACCCAGGGCCAGTCATCAGCACAGCTGAGCCCTGAGCTCCCGGGGTCCCGTGGACACCACACTAATGCTGCCCTCGCCGCCTGCAACTCTTGGTCCTCTGTCCTAACCAGGTTTTCAGTTCTTGGAGGGTAGGAGCTGTGAGCAAATGAGTACGTGAATGGAAAAGTAAGGATAGGTTGTTTGGAGATAAAATGTGATGTTCTGTGTGGTAGCTTCCATTGTCAGAATTAGCACCTAGTAGGCACCTAAAACTGAAAAGTCAGGGTTCTTTTCTTTTATGGCACCCAGAAACCTAGAGCCAAATTTAAAGTCCAGTTGGAGTAATTCCATCATCATGCCAGATGCTTTTACTTACCTCTGTTTTAATGATCTAATTGGATATGTGCCATTTACAATAATTGCTCCAAAAATGTCCTTGAGAGTAGGCAAGGTATAAGTAATAATCCAAAGAAGAAGAATGAGATGAATTGTGGCAGCTTGTTAGGCTAATTCTCCAACCATTAAAAAGATTCGGAAACAGGAAAACTGAGCCCCAATTCCTTATTTTGCAGGGAGATGGTACATAAAGCATTTAAACATTCTCCTTTCCTTCATTTCTTTTCTGATTAGAGACTGTTTTTCCCCCTCTAAGATTTTATAATTCAATATTTAGTGTTGTCTTTAAACAGTTCCTCACAGTCATGGTTTCTCTGTGGTGCGTGAAAAAGGTGGGAACGTAGGTGCTGGCCTGCACCCCGGTATTGTCCCCTCCGCCCCTCCACCCCTCCGCCGCCAGGCACCTGGCAATCTGCACAGAAGGTGTTTCCTGGGGCTTCTGGGACCCTGGCTCCGGGGTCAGCTCTGAACTATTTTCACCTCAAAGTTCCTGACTCGGTGGGACCGGTGGGGCCCAAGGGTGTGTATTTCCCAAGTTCCCAGGTAATTGTTTTCACGCACTTCAAGTTTGAGAGCCACCGGGAAAGTAGCAAAGCTAATGCACAGGTACGATGGTCATTTTCTACATCACTGCTACCCAGAAACCTGAAACAAGACATTTATTCTAATCCCCTTGGTACTTGCTAAGCATATAGAGATAGCGCCCTCTTCTGGCTCCGTGCTGTAAATGTATATATTTTACAGCCCTGACGTTTTTATTGCTTAATATTTGAGCTTTAAAGCAGAAAAATGACAATATTGCCCCACTGGCGTGGCTCAGTGGTTGAGCATCGACCTATGAACCAGGAGGTCGCGGTTCGATTCCCGGTCAGGGCACATGCCCAGGTTGCAGGTGTCAGCAGGTGCAGATTAGAGAGATTTTCTGCCAACAGGACTGTCCACCTCTCACTGATGCTCGCGCTGTGGGAAGGCTGTGCACTATCTCCTTTAACAAAAAGTAAACATTTAGTGCTTTTTAAGGAAATGGTGTGTAAGAAACATCTGAGGAATAGAAGAGAAAGAAACTGAAAATAAATGGCAAATCGGACAGAGCTCCTGGGCGGGCTTCTGAGATTCAGCACCAGGTTCCGATTCTGCAGGGCGGGGCTTGGGGCTCTGCATTGCCGAGGAGCGCCCCCTGGAGCTGGGGAGACCCCAGCCCCCTGGAGCTGGGGAGACCCCCGGCCCTCTGCTGCTGGGGAGACCCCCGGCCCACACCTGGGGCAGCAGGGACACGGCACACTAGGACCCGTCAGCCCAACCGGGCCCTCTGCCTGCTGTATGTCCTGTGAGCTAAGCTAAAAATGGGTTTCACATTTTTAAATGGTCAAAAAGTCAAAAGAATATTCGTGACATAGAAAGTACATGAAACTCAGTTTCAATGTCCAGTTTTGTCAGATCCCAGACACACCACTCTTTCATATTGTCTGACTGCTGTCACAGGGCAGTTGAGTACTTGGAACAGAGACCCTACATGGCAGGGAGCCTAAAATGTTTACTAGTTGACCTTTAAAGAAAGGGTGCACCCACCCTAGCCGGGGTGCTAGGTGGTTAGAGCGTCGGCCTGCAGACTGAAGGGTCTGGGGTTCGATATTGGTCAAGGGCACATGCCCGGGTTGTGGGCTCAATCCCCAGTAGGGGGGGTGTGCAGGAGGCAGACGATCAATGATTCTCTCTCATCATTGATGTTTCTATCTCTCTTTCCCTCTCCCTTCCTCTCTGAAAAATCAATAAAAATATTTTTTATTAAAAATAAATAAAAATAGATTAAAAAAAGAAAAAAGAAAGCTTGCACCCAATTCATACATAGGCCAAGGTTGCCATAGCCACCAGGGGGCAGCAGAGAGCTGTTTCCAGGCCAGTGTTGACCTCAGGTTGGGTAATTAGAAATGTGGCAGAGGGAGAGGAAGCTATGATATGGGTCTAAGGTAGAAATGCCTGGGCAATTAACACGAGATGAAGTGGGGGCAGGTAGGAGTGAGTAGGCAAGGCCCGGGGTAAGTAGGGGAGTCAGAAGCAATTCTGTTGCTGGAGCAGAAAGACAAGGCCTGCAGGGTGTCGGCAAGCAGGCAGAGGTAAGGCCAGGCGGTGCGGAGGCCCAGGAATGCTGTGCAGGGCTTGGACTTCAGGAGGAGGCAATAGGGAGCCACTGAGGGGCGTTAGGTGGTAGAGTGATAGCATCGCATCTGGGGGGACGGACTGTAACTCTGGTGGCTGTGCCCCTGGGATGCTGTTGCAACAAACAATCCAGGGTCCAGAGGTTGAGGCAGAGCAGCCGCAGTGCAGGTGACACAGCCCGACTGCAGGAGGGCTCCGGGCTGTGCCTGGGATCCGGGCTTTGCGGGGCCAGGCTGGAGAGCCACGTTGCTGTTTTTCTCCCTCCTGCCCATTTGCTCTCTGCTGTCACAGCCGCCGTGACGCCGCCGGCGGGAACCTTTCCTCTCGGTGGCTCCTGCGGATGTGGCCTCGCCGTTGCAGGCTGGCCTTGCTAGCTCGTTTCTGTCTCAGGGCGTGTGTCTTCATGGGGGAGGGCGCGCAGACTTTCAGAATCTGGTGAGCACCACGAACCCCGGAAAATGTGCGCGGCCGGGGGCTCCGCATCTGAGATGCTGGCAGGGCCTGCGCCTCCCTGAGGCCCGCCCAGTGGAGGACCCTGCCCAGGGCCGCACAGTTCAGGGTCGGCTGGGGGTCAGGGGGCAGCTGACTGACTGTCAGACGCTGTCTGCCCCCCTCCCAAAGGCCTCCCTGCCCACCCTGCTTCTCTCACCACCTGCCCTTCCTCCTGTCTTACGGGGAGGATTTGAATACGTGCCGTTCTTTGGGGTCAAACCTCCCGAACGCTCAGGATGGGAGCTGGACAGACTCCTGGACGGCAGGCGGGTGGCTCTGCTGGTTTCGGGCTGCCTCCCGGGCTCCCTCCACACACTGGGCCAGGGAACACTGTGTTCACAGAACTCTGACCACGCGAAGCTCTATCTTGGGGTCTTAATACTTCATAAATCCCCTTTCCTTGGAACAAAAAGAGCTCTGTGTTAGATACTGTCTTGTTTAGGAAATTATTCGCCTCTATAGCTAGAAATAAGGAGATTACATTTTTTAAAAGATTAATTTAAGCTCCACAACAAGGAACATTTAAAGGGAATATAGTCATTCAATTATAAAATATTTCCAGAGAACAAAATAGAAGCTTGGAAGCCTGAACTATTTTTCAAATTCTCCAGATTTAGAAAATCGAATCCAATATCAACTTTATTTATTTATTTATTTATTTATTTATTTATATTTCTTTATTGATTTCAGAGAGGAAGGGAGAGGGGAGAGAGAGAAACATCAATGATGAGAGAATCATTGATCGGCTGCCTCCTGCATGCCCCCCACTGGGGACTGAGCCCGCAGCCCAGGCATGTGCCCTTGGCTGGAATCGAACCTGGGACCCCTCAGTCCGCAGGCTGATGCTCTATCCACTGAGCCAAGCCGGCTAGGGCCAATATCAACTTTTAATAAAAGCAGCCATTCCCAGCAATTATTATGGTCTCTTTGTATGTGTGTGAGTGTGTGTGTGTGTAACAATAGCTTTACTGGAATATATGTTAGATAGCATACATTTCACCTCTTTTAAGTGCGTAATCTAATGATTTTAAAGTAAATTTATAGTTATGAAGTCATCACCACAATCTAATTTCAGAGCATTGCTATCCCTCCAAATCTTACATTTTCATTGTAAGATGTGACATTAGAAAAATAGTCACTTTATTACTTCTTGCATTTGCACCGTCTGAGTTATACCCTCACTAACACGGACCTTTGCTGGTATCTCTCCAGGCCGGCGCGAGACCGCCGGGGCTAAGCTCCTGCAATCTTATCAGAGGCTGAGGTGAGTGTCGTAGACAGACAGGCCCTGGAACAGACCCGCTGGGAGCTGAGGTCTCTGCACTTTCAGAGGTCACTGCTTTGGAATGTAACTTTTTTTTTTTTTTTAGATGATAAAGTACCTGGAAAAGATTCAGAGATATTTCCAGATTCTTATAAAAAGCCTTCTAGACACTAGCATGGTGTTTTCTCACCAAATGTTCTGTTTTGTTTCTTAAATTCTCCTGAAATGTCCCAAGGAAACCAAGTATTATTTTTGATGGCACGTTCAATGAAATTCTAAACCGAGTCTTTGCTTTTATGAATCATTCATGCCGCCAATATCTTCGAATAAACATTGGTGGACGTGAATAATGGCCTGAGTGAGGAGAACTTCTTTTTAAAGAAAATATATTTTATTGATTTCAGAGAGGAAGGGAGAGGAAGAGACAGAAACATCAATGTTGAAAGAGAATCATTGATCATCTGCCCCTTGCACGCCCCCTACTGGGGATCAAAGCCTGCAACCCGGGCATGTGCCCTGACCAGGAATCAAACTGTGACCTGGTTCGTAGGCCAATACTCAACCACTGAGCCACGCCAGCCGGGCAGATGTTAACTTCTTTACACAAAATTCCGAACAGCGGCAGCCTGGATGCCGGCAGGCGCACGCCTGGTTCCCCGGCGCCCACCGAAGTGTCGCCGGAAGCTCCCACCAGCAGCTATGTTTTGGCCACGATGAGATTTTCCAATCTCAGGACTTTTTCGCTTGTCACGCCCCCATTCCCCCCTCCCCCCCCCAATGCTTGTCACACAAGTTTCTGATTTTTCTCGTGGTGGATTTTTACATCCATGACATTTCTGGTGCTTCTGCCCGTGTGGTTTCCAGAGGGACCATGCCATAGGGAACACGCGTGTGGCTTCTGGATTCAGAGCCGCCAGGCCGCCCGCCGGGCCCTGAGCTCCCAGCTGTTGCAGGTCGCGCAGGTGACGAGCACGCAGACACTAGTCCGCACCTGCTGTTCCACATTCAGATCCCGGACTTCATGCCCTGCGCCCAGCAGCACATCCAAGTGGGGCTCTGCTAAACGTGAGGAAGTTAAAAACACACAAAAAAGCCCCAAAGATAGAGAACTTCAGTTAGAGGAGGAGGAGGAATCTTGTGTTTGTAAGACTGATTCTTGCATCATTTATAACCCATTTCTTATCCCTGTATTTTTCCTCAGCAGCAAAATTT